TCCAGTCTGGGCGACAGAGTGAGACTCCAACTCAAAAAAAAAAAAAAAAAGTACCCAAATAATGAAATCACAAAATACCATGTAGTCATTAAAAAGAATGACATAGACCTTAGCTTTTAAGTGCAAATGGTCCATGGTATATGGTTAAGCAATTAGAAGGTTTCAGTATAATTATATGATTGTCTATTTAAGGCAGAGAAACATACATATGCATGCATGTGCTCAAAGGAAAAAGTCTGAAGAATATATACCTAAATGTTGAGAACTGTGAGAATTGGTGTGATTTTTGCTTTATTATATATATCTTTTCAATATGATGTGAAATGTTACAATAAGTATGTATTTCTTTAAAAATCAGAGACTGGCTGGGCTCAGTGGCTCAGCCTGTGATCCCATCGCTTTGCGAGGCCGAGGCGAGTAGATTGTCTAAGCCCAAGGGTTCGAGACCAGCCCAGGCAACTTGGCAAGACCACGTCTCTACGATAAATCAAAAATTAGCTGGACGTGGTAGCGCATGCCTGTAGTTCTGACTACTTCGAAGGCTGAGGTAGAAGGATCGCCTGAGCCCAGCAGGTCGACACTGGGGTGGCCGTGAGCCTGCCACTGCTCTTCAGCCTTGGCAACAGAGTGAGACTCCAACTCAAAAAAAAAAGAGTCAGAGATTAAAAAAAATAAATAAATAAAAAGCTTATTTTCATTTTAGAAAATAAAACCAAAAATTTCATACACACTTTAAAGGTTAAATGAAATTTTTGTGTAATTGGGGCCATTATCCTTCCTAGCATAGGATAATATATGTAACGATTGCTTTTCATCTTTAAATTGAAAAGACAGAAAGAAAAACAGTTTTCTAACAAAGCCAGAGTTTTTATATTAATGGTTACTATGGGATCCAATGTCTCAATCAGGTAGGGACAGATAAATAATTAATGGACCTCAATAAATACTAGAATGAACCTCAATAGTTGATTGACTTGTAAATTCAATTTTTAATTTTCTTCTCTTTTTAACCTCCTTAAATCTAATTGTCAATTTGATCTCACACTGGTTCCCAAGACTGGCTATAGTCAAAATGGTAGGTAATCCATTAAAAACCCTCACAAGATTTTTTTTTTTTTTAAAGTCTACATGAGGCCAACTTAACACGGCAGATCTTAAATACTGCTATGGAGAAGGAAACACAAATGTGAATGCATTAGAGCCAATAAGAAGACAAGAATTCAAAAGGAAGGACTAGGAAAAGCAGGGTTACAAGAATTTTTGTGCCCATCACCAGTGTTTATAAATATAAATAAACGGGCTGGATTTTGATGTTACATTGAATATGTACTATGTCAATTAATATGTCAAATTAGTGGAGAAAGATGCAGACTATATAACTAATTGTGTTGAAACAAATGAGTAGCCATTTGGAGACTGTAGAGTTAGATCATAACTTTGGATCTTAAATCAGAGTAAATTATATATGAAGTATTTAAAATAAAACTGAAACTAAAAATGTACTAAAGAAAGTATCAGTCATTCTTGAGGCATGACTTCAAAGTTAACATTATATAGCCCTGATTTATTGGCTTATGTATAATTTTTTATATATATATATACATATTTGTATTTATATTTAAAAATCCGTTGTCAAAAATATAAATTATGTATAGTGAAAACAGTTGTTATATATGACAAAGGGTTGACCTTGTTAACTTTCAAAAGCATTTTTATAAATCAATAAGAAATGTTGAAGATCCCAATATAAAAATGGAACAAGGTTATAGATACACAGTTCACAAAAGTGGAATTCCAATAGCCACTAAGCATAAAAAGAATTTTCAGTTTCATCAGCAACCAAATAAAAGAACATTAAAGCCACATTGATATATAATTTTGGACCTATTATATTGGCAAAATGAGTACTCACTTTCTGAAGGATAATTTCTCAATATACACCAAAAAAGCATTTAAATTTTATATACACTGCTATGGTTTGAGTCTTTGTGTCCCCTCCAACATTCATAATGAAACTTAATCCCCCATGTAACAATATTAAGAGGTGTGATTTTTAGGAGGTGATTGAGTCATGAGGGCTCTGCCTTCATCGGTGGAATTACATGCCCTTATAAAAAAGCTTGACAGAGGGAATTCACCTTTTTTGGTTTTTTTTGTTTTTGAATCAAAGTCTCACTCTGTTGCCCAGGCTGGAGTGCAGTGGCACACAATCACGGCTACCACAGCCTCGACCTGCTGTGTTCAGGAGATCCTTTCACCACAGCCTTCCACGTAGCTGGAATTACAGGCACATGCCACCATGCCTGGCTAATTTTTTGATTTATTTTAGAGACAGGGGTTTCATCAAGTTGCCCAGGCTGGTCTCAAACCCCTAGGCTCAGGCAATCCTCTTGCCTCTGCCTCCCAAAGTGCTGGGATTACAGGTTTAAGTCACCTCACCTGGCTTGGGAATTTGCCTCTTTTTTGCCCTTTCCTTTTCTCCCTCCATGTGAGAACACAGCCTTTCTCCACTCCAGAGAATGCAGCAACAAGTCACCATTTTGGAAACAGAGACTGAGCTCTCATCAGACACCAAACCTGCTGGTTCTGGTGCCTTGATCTTGGACATTCCAACTGCCAGAACTGTGAGAAATAGATGTCTTTTCTTTATAAATTACCCAGTCTGTGGGTAATTATAGTGACACAAACAGACTAAGACACATGCCCAGTTGCTCCAGAAATTTCACGTTGGAGAATTTATTCTCAAGAAAGTGTGAGCAAAGATTTATGTACAAGGATAGTTATCACGGTACTGTTTACAATGGGGAAAACAATCATCTGTCCAAGAAAGGGATTAACCGAGAAATATATTTGTTGATTAGAATACTAAGAAGTCCCTGAAAATTAAATTACTGAATATATATTGACATGTATTTATATACACACACTTTATAAATACATATATGCAACATATAAATCTTAATAGCATGGCATTATAGGGCATTTTTTCTTCATATTTTGTATGTATATGTGTGGTTTAATTTTCTGGGTTGTTTATGTTACTTTTGTAATTAAAGACCAGCAGAACAATTATTGTGAGAAAACATTTCAGGCTTATAAAATAGAGAAAAAGATAATGGAGTGCTCTGCTGACTGGGAAGAAGCCCAAGCTCTCTTCTAAGAGAACAAACTCACTCACTTGTTTTGGAATAACAGACACCTTGCAGTTTGTAAAAGGAAATATACTTTCAGTAAATGAAGAAAGTTTGGGAAGACTAGGCTGAGTAGAAGAAGAGGTGAGATAGCTCAGTGTTAGAATCCAGAAAAGGCTGACTGACAGGTTTTGGGTGTCAGGGAAAAGGAAGTCAAATCAGACAAGGGAGATTAGGAAGATCAGTTCCACCGACTTCCTCATTCAGTCCTCAACCCAGAACTTTCCTGATCCTGGGTTCTTCTGACTCTTCCTAAAGTGCCCTCTACTTCAATAAACATTGTCAATATCCAGAATCTGTTACCAGAACATGGGGTCTTGACCATCCTCTTCCTTTGTTTGCCCATGTCCAGTCAATCATTATCAATTCTACGTTCAAATTGCCACTCAGATTCATCCACATATTCCCATTTTCACTGTCATTACCCTAGTTCAATTCAATCTTATCTTGACCATTAACACAGCCCCTAGACATTCTGACTGCTTATTCTGATTACCTGAGCAAATTTTGTAAACATAAATTTACTGGGTGACTCTCTTGCAAAAATCCAAGACTTGGCTTCCCAGGCCCTTAGAATAAAGTTCTTAACAGAGTTTACAAGGCTCTTCATGACCTGGTCTTACCTCTTATACTTGTCCTATCCTCATTCCCGCTACAGCCGTGTCCAGCCATACTCAACTTCTGCAGTTCCAGAGTGCACAGTGCTCTGGGGAAAGCACCCTTCCATCTTTGCCTGGCCAAATTTTTCTCATCTTTCAAACTTGAGCTTAAGTGCTTTCCCCTCAGGAAAGCCTTCCCTCACTCCTAAGATTGGAATAGATACCTGTGTTAGTTATTTAGTGCCCTCTGTTTCCCCTTTTGTAACAAATATCATAGATAAATAGTTTGTCTTCCCCTCTCATATCTGATCACCATGAAAGGGATTGTGTCTCTCTTGTTGATCACAGTGTCCCCAGTAGCTAGCAAAATGGCCGAATAAAAACATGTCATTTGTTACAACCACGATTGACAATTTAAACCAAGAAGAACAGTGACCTCTTTTTAAAGAGCAACTATTTAAATTTCATGAAAAAATATTTTTAAAGGCAAAAAATTAAAAATATCTCCCCCCATTCCCAGTGCAGACAACAATACCTAAAGTTTCAGGGCCTTCCTTCTGTGTGAAACTAAGGGATAAGCCACACCCATGGTGCCAATACTCAGTAAGAAAAGAAAGCATCTTTAGGCATAGTTTTCTCCCTTTCTCTAAAAAGCCAGTCATATAGACAGTCTAGAAAGAGGACAAAGCATTTGTGCTAACTTCCAAAATCTTACCATAAACACTGTTTCCAACGGAAACCATCAGGTTGAACTTACCCTCTGCTGCAGATTATTTCTAGGGCTTCCAAGTTCCCATGGTAGGCTGCCAGGAGAGTGGGAGTCATGCCATCTTCATCAGAAAGATTTAGATCTCTCTTGGTAGCCTCTTTCAAAAGTTCCAGGTAGCTATCGCTAGCAGCTTGGTGGTAGCGAGTAGACATTTTGTTTTTGCTCACCAGAGCTTGGTCAGATATCCCTCTCGGGGCAGAGCAGGATGTTGGCAGAGCAGCCTTCCTATAGAGCTTGTTAATCAGTGACAAGAAGAGTGTTACCCCAGGGCAAAGCTCATTCCAGCCTCCTGTCATGGAAGGCTGCCAGAAAGGTTTAAGGCACTGAACTTGGACCTTTTCTTTCTAGAATTGCCATGGCATTGACTATTAAAGTCTGTGTTTTATCTTGAATGTCTTGGGGCACATTTAATTTTTGCTATGTTTATTAACAAGTCTTGAATGTAATATTTGTCATCTAGTCTCCAAATGCAAAAAGTAATTTCCAAAACATTCAGAACTATTCTAATTCACTTAGGAGATTTTTTTTTTTTTTTTTTAAGAAAAAAAAAAAAGAGTCTGGGTGCAGTAGCTCACACCTGCAATCCCAGCAGTTTGGGAGGCCAAGGCAGGAGGATTGCTTGAGCCCAGGAATTTGACACCAGCCTAAGCAACATAGTAAGATCTCGTCTCTACAGAAAATAAAAAATAAGCTGGGCATGGTGACATACGTATAGTCCCAACTACTCGAGAGGCTGAGGCAGAAGAATCACCTGAGCCCAGGAGGTTGAAGCTGTGGTGAGCCACTCCAGCCTGGACAACAAAGTGAGATCCTGACTCAAGAAAAGAAAAGTAAAGACCTTTACTGAGTTGTAATTTGCATGCCACTAAATTTATCCATATTAAGTATATAATTAAATACTTTTTGGTAAATTTACAGAGTTGTGTACCTATTACTAAAATCCAGTTTTAGAACATTTCTATCACTCCCCCAAAGTTCCTAATGCTCACTTGCAGTCAATCCCCATTTCCACTCCCAACCCCAGGAAAGCACGGATCTGCTTTCTGTCTCTGATGATTTGCCTTTGATGGGCATTTTAGACACATGGAATAATGTATAGTCTTTTGTGTCTAGCTTTTTTCAATTCATGTACTTTCTTATGGTTGATCCATGTTGTAGCATGTAATAACAGTTCCTTTCTTCCTTTTTATTGCTGAATGATACTGCACTGTACTAATATATCAAATGTTCTTTATTCGTTAAATGGTTGAACATTTGAGCTGTTTCCATTTGGTGCAATTATGAATAATGCTGCTATGAATATTCACATACTAGTCTCTGTGTGGACATTTATGCCTCTTGGGTATATATCAAGGAGTGAAACTGCTGGTTATATAAATTATGATAATTTGCCAACCTTTTTTACAAAGTGGCTGTACCACTTCACATTTCTACCAACAATGTACAAGGGTTCTAATTTTTCCACATCCTTGTCGGTCCTTGTTATTGTGTGTCTTTTTGTTTATGACCATCTTAGTGAATATAAAGTGGTATTACTGTGATTTTAATTTGCAATTCCCTAATGACTAATGATATTGAGCTTTGTTTTATGTGCTTATTAGCAATTCTTACATCCTCTATTCAAATATTTTGCCCATGTTTAAAGTGGGTTGTCTTCTTATTAATGAATTATAACAATTCTTTATTCTGGACACAAATCCTTTATCAAATATATTGTGAACAGAATCAAAAGGAAAGCACAACACATGAAGATTTATAGGATGCAGTTAAAGAAGAGTTTAGGGCAAAACTTGTAGTTTTTAATGCCAGTATTAGGAAAAAGCAGTCTCAACCCAATCACTTAAACTTCCACCTTAAGAAAGGAAGAAAAATATAGAAAAATGAACTGCAAACAATATAAAACCAAAAACGTTCCAAACCTTCCTGTAATAAAAATAAAAGAAATAGACCAAGTTTACTATTTAGAAGATTCAGCCATATTTACAACAGGCACATCTAAAATATAAAATTGCAGAGGGATTAAAGCATAAAATAGAAATGTTATATAAAGCAAATACTCATAGAAAAACTGGTACAGCTATCTAGATGGTCCTCAACTGATAACAGTTTGACTTAGGGTTTTTCAGTTTTATGATGATATGAAGATAATATACATTCAGTATGCTCCTTGGCTTGCAATAGAGTTGTAATATCAGCTTACAATAGGTCTATTGGAACATAACCCTATTATAAGATGAGGAGGTCCCTATATCAGGCAAAATGTAGTTTAATTCAAAAAAATTACTAAAGATAAAGAGAAATAATACATAATGATGAAAGGAACAATTAACCAAGAAATAGCCCTAAACTTGTATATACCTAATAATATAGCCCCAAAAGAGAGAAAACAAAAATTAATAGAATTCAAAGAGAAAAAAACAAATCCACAGTCATAGTGGGAGATTGTAATACATCTTCTTAGTGTTATATATTAGACTAAAGAGTAGTATAGTTATAAAAGATTTTAACACAATAAAAAAGTTTGATCTATCAGCCACATACAGAACTTGTACCCAATAGAAAATGCATGTTTTTAAAGCACATATAGGATATTTATAAAAACTGCCCACTGAATAGAACCAGTACAGGTCTCAACAAATACCAAGGAATAGGGTTTATGCAAACCATGTTCTATTAAGGCGCTGTAGTTAATTAGAAACCATCATCCTTACACAAATCATCAACTACACAAATGTTCTCTTGTGGTATATTTTCTAGAGCATTTTCATCAAATACATATACTTTTTTGCATTGTCTTTTCCTCTCTTTAACGTGTCATAAACATTTTCCCATATTATTACAAAATCTTTAATATGCTTGGATAGCTTTCCACTAAACTTGATGTGAGGAAGGTCTATTTTTGAAGTCTGTAACTATTTATTCCTCTTATCTCTTTTTGTGCAAGTCTCGATTCCAAGATAAAGTATTTGCCCACACGGAAAAAGGACAAAGCTTTCATCTGCAGTTTCCTCACAATAATGATTCACTTCAAGGGTCACTTTTTGTTCCTTTTTCTGTGAGCAGCAGTAGAAGCCATAGAAGTAGACTGAAGGGAAGCATTATTTAGCTTTTTTTTTTTTAGTATTTTTAGCCCAGAGAGAGTAACATATCCAAACATGATTGTGGATACTTTGAGGAAAAAGGTAAGGCTGCTCCTCAATTCATTTTTACATGAGCCACTTTAATTTAGACACAATTACATTCATTAATATACTCTGAAATTTAAAAATATGCATAATCTGAGACCGCCTCAAAGATGGATTATTTGTAGTAGAATCCTAAGACTCCAACCAAAGAGTCTGCTAGAGGATGAGAAGGAGAATGGTGATCATGAGGATTGCCAACATCAGAATAAAAATGTAGAGACAAATCTCTAAACTTAACATTTTATTTGAGAAAAAAGAAGTGCAATTTGGGGCATATGTGCAAACTGAGTAATCTTTGGTATATCTAAAGAACAAAAGAAGGTTAGAGATTTTATTTAAAAGAGAAATGCTACATATTGCTCTTCAGGAAAGTTCATCAGCACTAATAAGGTCAGGGGAATTGGCAAGCTGCTGTTGGTGGGTGATGGTAGTGAGCAAAATTAGTACTAGAATTGCAGAAAGTTATCTCAGCAGCTGTAGATAAAACTGGTCTCAGGTTACAGCAGGTAGTTTCAGCAGTCAGTCTTGCAGAGAATCCCATTCTTGGAGCAATGTTTTACACTTTGAATATTTTTCCCCTCCTGGTCCCTCAACTCTGATTTAGTTGGGTATGACAAAAATGACCCAATTTGCATTATCTACTTTCACTGGATAGAAGTAAAGGGTAAGAAGAGTAGAGTAATCATAGAGATGAGGAAGAATGATTGGATATGGAAGGCAAGGAACAGAAAGAAGAATTTCTTGGCTCCAGCAGCTTTTACAACTTGAACTTAAACTCTCCTGTGCAATGATGAAACATCTGAGCTTTTCTTAAATGGTAAAGATCCCGGCACAGTCTGGCACTACCTTGGGAAAACATCTTCCTTGGGAGAGGAAGGGTAGGGAAGGGGAAGAGAAGCAAAAATAAATGCTTCTGAACTTGAAGATTTTCTCTACTCTATCCTTTCAAGGTGGTGTTAAGAAAGAGGGTTGAACTCAGACCTAGAATGAGCCGGAGCTCATATGATCTGGGGAAAGTTGCATCTATTTGAGGCTCCATTTTCTTGTGGATAAACTTGGGGGATGATCTAGTGATCTTTTTTTTTTTTTTTTTTTTTTTTGAGTTGGAGTCTCACTCTGTTACCCAGACTGGAGTGCAATGGCTGCTCCTGGTCACCGCAGCCTCAACCTGCTGGGCTCCGGCGATCCTTCCGCCTCAGCCTTCCAAGTAGCTGGAACTACAGGCACACATACCACGCCCGGCTCATTTTTGATTTATTGTAGAGATGAGGTCTCGCCAAGTTGCCCGGGCGGATCTCGAACCCGCGGGCTCAGGCAATCCACTCACCTCAGCCTCCCAAAGGCGCGGGATTACAGGCTGAGCCAGTGATCTAGTGATCTTAATATCATCAACAGTTAACATTACCATAATAAAGATGAAATAGGATAAAAATCCTTACAAATATAAAGTATGTTTGTACAAACTGGAAGAAGTGTGGTTGTGGCTTAGGGAGAAGAGAGAGCTATAGCTCAGTAATTGGTCTATTTTCTTACTCCCCAAAGCCTAAAGGAAGCAAAATTGGTGAGAAATGATAAGGGCAGACGTTAATGAAGAGATAACACAAATTTGCATATAACGTAAACACTAACTCCTTATGAGGGGTACTGGTAATTGTGGGGACAATTACGGATTTTGGATTATGGATTTTTACTGTAGTGGTCTTGTGGAAATAAGCATTTGAGGCTGTTTCAACTGCATGCTACCGGGCTCTTGAAAGGCCAGAGAAGATTATTTACATTCACACGGTGGAGAGACTTTGAGGATCAGACCTGAATGTCACTGATCACAAGTCAGGGTCCTCATCATCCTTCCTGTTAGAACCATACCCTGCCCCCACACACACACAACTCCCTATAGTCCTGAGACACTAGTATAAGTCAACTTAGAGAAATATCCTGCCAGTGGCTTCTGTGTCCTCTTGGCACTTAGGTTTAGAGAGGTAAGTTTTTATTTCCTCATTTTTCTTAA